GGGCTGACAGCACTGTCCTGAGCGCGGCTGATTGCCAAGTGGAAATAATCCCATCAAACCTTGGCACGGTTAATCATCTCCAAGAGGCCTAAACACTTTCCATCCGGTCCATTATCCTCGTGTTTGAGAAAGTTTCCAAATAAGTCCGACTTCGAGCTTCTAACAATAAGCCGCCGCACAGCTTTTGCAGACGTTCAGCAACTATGGCTGCAGAGAGGATGCGGCGCTGGAACCAAAGAGCACACAGAGTATAGAGTGCACATTGAAGGGTCAGCTTCAGGGCCATGCTGATGCAGCAACCATAAAGCTGGCCATACACATGGCAATTTGTGATACGATTTGGAGAAACTGCCAGGAACCAAGCAATCTACCACCCACAAGTTCAACTGAGCACCACAATTGGTTGATTGTCAAGTCAAAACTGAGCAAAAGATTGATTGCTTTAATAAAGTTTATTGAAGGATTGGATTGAAATGGGATAATACAAAAAAAAAAAGTCAATTCTGTCAACACCGATCGAATTTTTCCTCAGCGCTCGTGCTCAGCGGTTTTGAACCCCATCACCTTGCGGTCAATGAAAACCACCATTTTGTGCCTTTGAATGCTTCGTGATTTCGACAAAAACCATCATTGAACATTCCATCGATTCAGCAGCAGGGTGAAACCGGGAGCCATTTTAGACACTAAACTACAAAGCGAACCTTTAAAATCAGCTCCTGAGCTTGTCCTGCGACAGCTGAAAGACTCCAGAACACGGGGGAAGATTAAACCAAATGAAAAACACCAGTTCTTCCCCGAAGGATGAGCAATCCGTACGGAAAATAAGATATATATACCCCGAATAAGCCACCTGACAGGCACAGGCCATTATAAATGATAAAGTCCCGGCTTATGTAGATCTCTCTGTCCCAGGCCAACCTTGGCCCCTCCACCTCTCCTGCACCGCCAGAGGCACATTGAAGAGAAGGCAGAATTATCCAGCAAACACTTTAATAAAAAGAAAATGTGCGGCCTGAAGACTTTCATATCCTCTTCCAAGCCGCTGTGCTCGGAGCAGGAGGGAGAGCAAACAAGAAGCAGGCTTCATGGCATTGCTGACATTCCAGGCCTCGGCTGGTCTCCTGTCTGGATCCTCCTGCCTGGAATAGGTGTTGTGTGATGCTGGCTAGAATCTCATCGGTATCAGGGAGAGGTCACAGGGCTGTCGGTCACGTGCAAAGGTCAGTATTGGAAATAAAATCCACGTTTTCATTGATGTCGGAAAAAAAAGTAACTTTTCCAAAAATGAATTCCGATCCTTTATACCAGACGTGTTTTTTGATTTGAAGATGAACTCCGACCTTCCCTTCAGTGTTGTACGGGATCCTCTCCTGTTATTGCTATCACTGCACACTGTGAGCTTCTCTCAATGTGCATTAAAAGCGGCAGCAAGTCAGATAGAGCCCACTTCATTTCCTGGCTGGAGGATGTCCAGCACAGCCTAGTCCAGTCGTGGCGAACCTTGGCACTCCAGCTGTGCCAAAACTACAAATCCCAAGATGCATCTGCCTCTGGGAGTTATGTCTGTGGCTGTCAGAGCCTTGCAATGCCTCATGGGACTTGTAGTTCCAAGGTTCGCCATCACTGGTAGTCTTTTCCTCCCCATCCTGACTGTCCCTGGCCCACTCCTCTATATGTCATGGCGGTCCAGCGTTCCATGTGGGTTTTACATACGGGGGGGGGGGCTTTTGGGGTGCTGCATGCAAATACAGCCTGCCTAGGAACACCCATTCCTTCAGACTCTGACTGACATCCACCCATTGTCATATTTACATAACTTCTCCCAAGAGCCCGCCCACTATTTGTATCAGGGCTGAGGCCTGTTGAGAGGTGTACTGCGGCAGGGTGCCGTGATGTTTTCAGCAAGCTCTCCCACCAGCCAAGATCCGCCTGCAATGCATACAGAAGCACAGAGACCTAGTGATGACATCACTGGGTCTAAATTAAGGGCTGGGATTAAAAAAAATGGAAAGGTTTGATTTAAAAATGTAACTAGCATGCTGACGAGGGGGGAAAGGAGGAACCCGGGAAGGTAAAATATAAGCAGATTAAACTTCAGCGTTAGATTTCGGATAACCACCATTCCTGTGTTTGTTGAGATGGACCCTGTGCACCATCAGATCAAAGTAATCTGACCGACACATCATATTCAATCTGGAAAGATGCGATGGGCACACTACATCTAAATACAATACACAGGGGGGGGGTTATCAAAACTGGAGCAGACAAAATCTGGAGCAGTTACCCAGGGCAACCAATCAGCTTCTCTCTTCTATTAAGATTTGAAAATGAAAGAGAAGCCGATTGGTTGCCGTGCAAAGCTGCTCCAGATTTTGATAAATTCCCCTCATAGTGCGGCTGGTTTTCTTTAACACCAACCCCAGGCATTCTGGGAACTGGAGAAAGGTAAAAGTCTACGACAGTGTTAGACAGCTAGCATACCTCCATCTGCTCTGAACTACACGTCCCATCGTGCCTCACCATCTAAAAAACTGTCCTGGGTCAACCAGGGAACAGGAAGTGCATGCTGGGACTTGCAGTTCCGCGAGTTTGAGATCCACTGCAAAATTGGCCCCCAAAAAAGAAGTCTGGGTTGGATTGCTATAGCCAAATCCTGCGCCCTATATGTAATATGTCGGCCGCCTAAACGGAGCAGCAAATCCCGGCTGAGGAACGAAACACAAAAAAGTTGTGTACAAGTTTAGATGGTGACAGGAGCATTGAAAAGACTCGGTTCTGCTCTCTCTTGTTCCTTTCTATGCAGACAATGGGGAACGTACTGAGTGTTAAGTAGCTGCACCGACACATGAGTGACATGAGATGCTGCGCCCAGAGGCCCACAGAAAAGAGAGAGGGGGGGGATCCCAAATGACGGGGTTAATGAGATGCAGGCCGGCCTCGTGCGCACACACATGCACACAAAGCTCTAGTTCCATGAAGTCCGAGCAGGAGATAGGGGCGGAGTCCCAGCAGCACTGGGAGAGACAAACTGGTGGGATCAGGGGCTGACAGTAACATTCAACCTCTTCCTGTCCAAACAAAAGCTCCCTTCAAGGAGCAGGCTTTGTGCTTGGGATCCCTCCTAGACCCCCACCCTCTGCCCAGCCTCATCGGAGACCTACAACAATGAGGGCAATGTGCAAGATGGCAGAGCGATGGCCGTCGCTCCGCACAGATTAACGGGATCTGCTGAAACAATATGTCCACTAGCAGGATCCTGTCTCAGCAGAGGAATGCAAGGGACAGAGCCAGAGGTGTCTCTCCGGTCCCGCAAGGAAAGACGTGGCACCTCTGGGCTACTGCGACAGAGCCAAAGAGGCGGCCAAGTTGCAGGGGACTGGGCCGCGCTGGACTCCAGACAGCAGGCAGACCAGGAAACTCCTTCCGTCATCCCCAGGGCACTATGGGCAAGACTGGCTGCCTCTCCAGATACTTCCTCATTATGGCAGCAATTAGCAGAAAGTGCCCCGGGGGAAGTTGGAGGGAAAGGTTAGTGCGGTTGAAAGAAAAAAAAAATAAAAAATCTGGAGATCCATAAAAAGCAGATGGGTCTCCATAAACACAGGTGCCCGCCAACTTTCCTGCAAGTGGTGTGTCATGTATACAACAGGATGCCCACAAACCACCTGAGAGTAGTCACAAGTCCATCGAGCTGGTCACAGGGTGCAGTCAGCAGTTTGATGGATCTAAACCCGAACTGAACAACATGAAGTGCATCATTGTGTGATCATCGAGAATGTTCCCCTATAGATCAGGATTTTCACCCTTTTTCTGCACTGCTGACAATCTCCTCCCACCTCTTTTAGCCACTTCCTGTCTATATGCACTTGCTCCAGTGTTGCTTTAACATCATTGCTCAACCAACCAATGAAGTTCAATCTGCTTTCATTTTCCCTTCACTGGTTCCTTCCTCCTCCCTTCCCCATCAACATGCTAATGACATTTTTATATAAAGCCTTTAAGATTTCATTTCATACCTTATTTTAGACCCAGTGATGTCATCACTCTATGCAATGCAGGCAGATTATGGCTGGTGGAAGGGGACGGCAGGGTGCTGTGCATAGCTTCCTGATAACATCACAGCACCCTGCCTCAGTACTCCTCTCAAGAGCTCTAAGCCCAGATACAAGCAGTATGCTGACTCTTAGGGCTTGTTCACACCATAAACAGTGCGTTCCAGAGCGGTCAGCTGCTAGAACGCACTGTATCGCATCCCAGCTGGCTTCCTGCAATACTGCGGGCAGGGGGTGTGTATGCGGAGCCAATGACTTCTATGCTGCTGAGCCTCCATGACTGAAAGAACTAAAAACCAATGAATGAAAGCGGCAGGCCAGGAACAGTAAGGCCCCGTTCACACTTAGCGATTTATCGTGCGGTAATTCCCGCAATATCGCGGCAATTTACCGCGCGATATCGCTCTCCAATGCTTCTCAATGGGACAAAGGGTCCTGCTGTCGCGGGTCATGCGTCGCTACAGCAGGACCCTTCTTGGAGCGGGTTTCGCCGCGATTCTCGCTTGCTCAATGCAAGCATTTGCACGATATCACGCAAAATGCGAATCGCGCGATTTGCGAATCGCGCAGTGTGAACGGGGCCTAAGGTTGGGGAGAACAGTACTGGATGATATTGGATGTCCTCCAGCCAGTAAATGAGGCGGCTCTGACTTGCTGCAGCTTCTAATGCACATTGTGAGAAGCTCGCTGTGTGCAGTGAAATTACAATAAGAGATTCCAGTCCAGGAGAGGAGCCGGCACAACTGTGCAAGACTGAAGGGAAGGCCGGAGATCAGCTTTAAGGAATGTAAAGTCCTCAATGTAGTGTTTACATCTACGTTAAGCAGGCGAAGCAAGCATAGATTGTGGCCCCTGGCCCTGACTGCTGGCCGCTGGCTCTGGGTTACTGCACATTGCTAGAGAGGGGGGAAAAAAACAACGCACAGGTAAACATTCAGAAACACTAACCGGTCTCTGCAGGTGGTGAAGAGGTCCTGATGGTGAAGATCTGGCCCAAATCTTCCTCTTCTTCCGGAAGGCCCTTCTGAAGCCGCTGCAGCTTTCGTAGGCTCTCGCCGCGCTGGTGCTTCATGGAGCGCACATGTTGGATCAGGTTGAGTTTGGCCTTGGTGGAGTATGAGCACAGCACACAGTGATAGTACGACGTTTCCCCTTCCACGCTGCTTTCATGCTGCTGCAAGTGCTGCGGAAAAATCAGGAAAGTAAAATGAATGAAGACTCTAGAAATGACAAATAATAAATATAATTCTGTACAGCCAGTCTTGTGATCCACAAACCCTCTTCCAGGAAGAAACTGCTATTCACAACTTCACAGCAGTCACATGCCCACTTCCAGCTTGCTCAATAGACTATGAAAAGCATGGCAGGATCTGTCCGCTCCTCCCCCCCCCGAGCTCCCCTCTGCAATAAATCTAAATGCTTCCTTCTCCATGTGTCTGAAACATGTCAGGACAGCAAGGTACAAGGCTGCAGAGCAATGCTGGCTCACAGCACGGCGGAATCAGGGCAGTGACTTTGTAAACTCCGGGCACAAAAAAAACGTTCATTTAAATGTATTCCTCAATGGCCACAAAGGAAAGAAATCCACTCTGTGTGCACCAAATGCCTTCACAAACCCAGATATTACCTTGACAAAATATAACGGACATCATCACTGTGCTGTGCATAGCATGTGCAGAGAGCAGAGCTGAGGGGAGGGACCGAGCAGGCCCCACCCACTGCAGGATGCCTGCAGAAAACTACAGGAGTGGGCGGAGACAAGACCAGTCTCCCCTGCACAAGGAGAGAGCAGCAGTGAGAGGTCTTTATTACAGGAGGGGGCAGAGATGAGACCAGTCACCCTGCACAATGAGAGAACAGCAGTGAGCGGTCGTTATTACAGGAGGGGCGGAGACAAGACCAGTCATCCTGCACAAGGAGAGAGAGCAGTGATCGGTCTTTTTTTACAGGAGGGGGCAGAGATGAGACCAGTCACCCTGCACAATGAGAGAACAGCAGTGAGCGGTCGTTATTACAGGAGGGGCGGAGACAAGACCAGGCACCCTGCACAAGAAGAGAGAGCAGCAGTGAGTGGTCTTTATTATAGGAGAAGGCGGAGACAAGACCAGTCACCCTGCACAAAGGGAGAGAGCAGTGATCGGTCTTTTTTTACAGGAGGGGGCAGAGATGAGACCAGTCACCCTGCACAATGAGAGAGCAGTAGTGAGCAGCCATTATTACTGGAGGGAGCAGAGACAAGACCAGTCATCCTGCACAAGGAGAGAGAGCAGCAGTGACCGGTCTTTAGTATAGTAGTGGGCGGAGACAAGACCAGTCACCCTGCACAAGGAGAGAGCGCAGCAGTGTTACATAGTTACATAGTATTTGAGGTTGAATAAAGACATTAGTCCATCAAGTCCAACCTATTAGGATCTCATTCTAGGAGTACCTGTACCCCTGTATTTAGTATAGTAGTGGGTGGAGACAAGACCAGTCACCCTGCACAAGGAGAGAGAGCAGCAGTGACTGGTCTTTATTACTGGAGGGAGCAGAGACAAGACCAGTCATCCTGCACAAAGAGAGAGCAGCAGTGATGGGTCTTTATTACAGGAAGGGGTGGAGACAAGACCAGTCATCCTGCACAAGGAGAGAGAGCAGCAGTGATCGGTCTTTATTACAGGAGGGGGGCGGAGACAAGACCAGTCATCCTGCACAAGGAGAGAGAGCAGCAGTGAGTGGTCTTTATTACAGGAGGGAGCAGAGACAAGACCAGTCATCCTGCACAAGGAGAGAGAGCAGCAGTGATCGGTCTTTATTACAGGAAGCTCCAAGTCTGACACTGGATTACTGCACAGATCTGGAAGAAATACACAAAGCTCACCAAGATTCCAGGAAGACTACACATGACTCTCATAGGAGGACAATACTTGCTGATCCCGGAGTCCAGCTTTAAAATCCGCTCCCATTAAAAACAAGCCTGCTAGCAATTTCAAACATTTAAAGGCAAAATCCCGGCTTAACAGTGAACGTACCAAGATGCCTACTGTTACAATTTTTTATCTAGGCAAGTCCGTTTTGTTACTGGGGCCTGACTTCCTTGACTTCTGGACCAGGTCCAGCCACCTGCCGTTTCTCTGTCCAATGAGAGTGTCCTTTATGGTCACTGCCGCACTTTCATTGGATGATGGGATAGCAGCTGGGCGGGGCTTAGATTAGAAGTCAGAGTTCCGTAACAAAGTAAAAGTAAAATCAGAGAGTGGCAGAGAAGAGCCTCTTCTATCCACCACAGGAAATCACATGATTGTTGAAACAAGAAATGCTGATCGGTCGGCTTTCTTGGTGGACGACAGACAATAAAGTGCTCTGACCGTCCTCATCCAAAAGTTGCTGGCGTGGAAGGAAGAAAGGATCAGCACTAGGCTGCACCAATCTCAACATGCGTTTCCGAGCATGCCTGCCACTCAGTATCTCTCATCTGTTGTCATTCCCTACAAGGCTGGACTGACACAAACATGGTGTCTCATCGCTTGCATTCAGCGGCGTGTACCTGCCCAACAGAACCTTATGACACAACAGAGGAGAAAAAAAATGATATTACAGCTAAATACGTGACATAAAAAAAAAAAAAGTATCTGGAGAATGTACCAACGATGGTAACAAAGTCTGATAAAACTCCCCAGGAATGACACATTGAAGAGACGCACTCGGCCTGGACATCAATGTGCCAACACCCTATGTACGGCATGCCAGAAATTCATTCTGAAATGATAACCATCGTTCTGGGAGATAAAATACCGATCATAAAGACCCGAGCCGGAATTCCAAAGATAAAATCGATTTGGTGATCAGTGGGGAATAATGTCCCTATTGTTCGTGTCACCTGCATATTGTCCTTGGCATGATCGGCCTGCTGTTACCAGATATTGGGGAGCTGTCAGTCCCAACAAGACCAAAGACCAATGAGGGCATTACACAAACACTGGGGATGCACCGATAGCGGTTTTTCGCTATCGAGTACCAATACTTCTCTTTCAGGTACTCACTGATGCCAAGTACCGATACCGCTAGCATGGAGCCCGCTTCCTGGGCAACCAGGAAGCCGGGCAGCAGGTAATGACACGCCACCCTACTTCCTGATTGGCCGACTCGATACTGATTGGCTGGGAAGTCGCTTCCCGGCCCATCAGGAACCAGAGTCATTACCAGCCACCTGGTTTCCTGATTGGCCGAGAAGCTGATTGCATGTTCCCTTGCGGCACTGCCAGTCAGAGGAAATTTCCCACTGACCGGAAGTTCCCGTATCGGGATAAGTATCGGAGCATTTGGGCAAGTACGATTACTCGGCTAAATACCTGGTATCGGTACAGATACTTATACTAGTATAGTATCGCTATCCCTATAAACACACAAGCGTATAAAAACCTAAACCTGAAGAAAAGTTTTTTTCTGCAAATTTTTAAATCCAGTTCAAATCAACTAAATACATTTCAGGGGCATAAAAAGTAAAACAATAGGGTGTTCAAAGTCACACTTCCTGTCCTAAGGTGTCAACGCCTGCTTGCTGCATCAAGGGAGGAGCAGCGTTGTCACCCTAGACTGCTCACTCTCCATTTGGACTATAGAACCCCTCTCCTAATCTCTTTAAACTTTTGTGAAATACAGAACACCACCACCTCCTACGTTTAATCTGCTTAGATTTTTATCTTTCCTGGTTCTACCGTCCCCCCCTATCAACCTGCTAAAAATGGTTGTAAATAAAACCTGTTTTCATTAGATACATTATAATTAGACCCAGTGATGTCATCACTGGGTCTCTGTGAAATGCAGGACGATTAGGGCCAGCAGGGTTCTGTAAATAGCTTACCTCTGGAGAGCCATTAGCCCTTACGCAAGCAGTGGGTTGGATCTTGGGAGGAGCCATGCAAATATCAAAATGTCTTGATAAGAGGATGTCAAGTCTAGAGGAGCGGCATTCCTAAGGCTGTATTTGCATGCAGACACCCTAGGCAACACCCGCTTGCCGTGCCGTCGAGCCTCCATGATAAAAAGAAGGGAAATCCAATTAATAAAAAAGGGAAGTGCCAGTCAGACTGTTGAGGAAAAGCTAGATGATGCCGGGCGTCGTCCAGCCAGGAAATGAGGTGCAGCAGCTTGTAATGCACATTATGAGAAGCTCGCAGTGTGCAGTGATATCAGAGGAAGCACTTTCAGTCCAGGAGAGGAGCCGCTACAACTGTGCAAAACAGGAGGGAAAGCCGGAGTCCAGCTTTAAACTGTCCGGTCAGCCGCCATGTTGCAGCAGTGGACCCGCGCACGTTTTTTTTTTTACGGGTGCCGATTATTGGCCTGCGGATTAGCAGCTCTTCTAAAGCAGCCAAAGTTGTGATAATTAGTGGTAATGAATGATTCCCCTGAAATAATATCCAGCAATTCCATACAATGCAGGCCCGGCTGTCACTGGCACATCGCCCTTTTTACGGGTCACCATCGCAAAGCACGGAGATGTCGCTGACACAGCGGAGGGGACGACATCGGCATGTGTCACTATATTGATTGCTAGAAAGCTTGTGGGGCCTTTTTTTTTCCCCTGCAACAACAGGAAACTTCTAACATCTGGTTCTTCACGCATGGAAAGCAAAATATCGATCAAGTTTAGCTGAAGCACCACTTTAAAAACAGAACAGACAGAAGAACATTCTGATGGAAGGCAGGGAATACTCTGGGGAGGAGGTCGGCCATTGCACACAAATCTGTCCGCGCTTTCGTGCCAAACTGCACAATCACATCCAGAACGAGACATACAGCGCACCCATCGTACATGGAGGCAGCCAATGTCCAGCCAATCAATTCAGGGAACAAGGGACATACCCCAAGGTGCTGGGAAACACCACATAGAAGATATTAAGGATTATTCAATTGCCAGAAGGTGTGATAATTATTACGTTAAACACAACATTAAATTCAGAGCTGGACAAACATGGAACCCGGAGCCAGAGGAATTTATTTTTTGACCGCTAAAAAAAAAAAAAAGTTAGAGCCAACGTGTGCCATTGACACCGTCACACGTCAACTCTATTGATCGGGAAGTGAGCAAACATACCGTCGCTTGTTCACTTCCTGATCATCTCCCTGCAGAGAGCCGTGACTGCTAGTCACCACTCCCCGCAGGGATTCCCCCCTCCAGCGCTGACTGGAGGAACAGGG